GTTTCAGAATGTAATAACTTTTGGGTTGTTCCCAGGGCTGTTCTATTCCAGAAAACCTAATCTTCATGCCCTGTCCCAAGGGTAGCCACCAAGGTCCCATCCCTGAGCCTCTGTTCCTGGTGTTTGCCCCCCACCCTCCAATGCTTTTCCACCTCTCTGTCCTTCTAGGTCTGATTCAAAACTCATCTCTTCTAAGGAACTTTCATGAAGCCTCGCATTGTCTTTTTGCTCAGTGTGCGTCATATAAGCTCTAGGTTTACTTTAAGTTCCCATTTTTTTAGATGGTACTGTATTGTCTTGTACTTGACTCGCTGTAGTTTGTTCTAAATCGTTTATGTAGTTAGATGTACACGCGCACACACACGTGCATGTGCACACACACTTTCCCACAGTATAAGCTTGATTGCAAGTGGTTGCAATTAGGCTTCGTGGCTAGTGAGTGGCAGAGCTGACATTCCAGCCTTAGAGTTGTGCCATAAAGCGCCAGGCCCTCCTGAGTGAGAGGCGGGGCAGTATGTAGGGAGGTGCCACAGGCCAGGGGGCAGAAGGCAAGGGTTGGTGGCATCAATTGGTCTCAACCTTGGCTCATTCAACTGCAGTGTGAAAAGAAAAAATGCCTGTCTTGGTTATCTCACAGTATTTTGCAAGTTGAATTTAAAAACCTGAAGGCCGAGAGAGTTTCTCTCTGCCGTGCCACTTTGAGGATTGTCCATCCAGACGAGCTGATTCTCTGTGGCCCTCAGCTGGCTGAAGTTGGGGTTCTCTCCTTCTGGTCCTTGGGAGGGGTCCTCTCTATCAGAGGGGTGTGGGGGTGAGACCCGGCTCCTTGAGGGTGTGGGAAGTTACAGGAGCAAGGCTGATCTCCTAGACTCTTTTGAGTTCATTATCTATTTTACCATCTTAATTCAATGAAGCATTTATTTCTTTCCCTTTCTTTTCTTTCAGTTACAGTAGCTAGGTCTCATTTCAGTATATTGGAGAGACTTGGACTTATTTTTTCTTACCATAGGTGAAAAGTAAATGTGTTAAAAGTCTGTTGCTCTGATTTGAGGTAATTAGAATGCTGAGAATGTTTAACTTTTGATTCAGGAGCGAGAGAAAAGAAAGCATGAAAGAATTCTGAGTGAAGAACTTGTGGCCGCTGTGACCTACCTCAATCAGTTTCTGCCTCCTGAGCACACTATTGTCTATATTCCTTGGGACATGGCCAAGTACACCAAGAGGTGAGTGATGCTCCCTTGTCCGGCTGTCAGTTTCCTTTCATAGATTGACATCAGCCGGTGGCTAATCTCTATGCTAAAGTAAGTGGTGCCCTTTAAGTCAGTCTGCTGAGGGGCTGTTTTGAGAGCTTAAATGAATTGACCAAATGCTCTCTGGTTTTGTTTTTTGTTTTTTTTTTT